ATCATTGTCAATATGAGAAAACCCGGAATATTTACTTTGCACCATGGTCACTATTGGATCACTTTCATACGTTAGCAAAATATCATCCGAAATTTCAATTGTTGTACAACTATTTGAACAATCCCATGTTGCACCATAACCGATGCTCGTGATTCACTCAATAAATTTTTTTATTTCTTCAAATGTTTAATGGGAGCCAGCACCTTGTAGCCTCGTGTTTTTTTGTTAATCGCAAAACTACACAGAATCTCCACGTATAAGAAGAGTTAATGGTAGCATGAACAATACCATCTCGAGAACCTTTGGGAGTCTCCGATAATATTTGACAGAAGTCGCCCCCCGAAACATTTGTTTTTCCCTCCAAAAGGCGTACTCGAACTTGCAGGGTTTGTAAAACACATAATGTCACACATTGTCTTGTCAAGTGCTTCAAAACATTGGTTATGGACCATGGGAGCTTCATCCCAGATGATAAGTTTGCACCTGGCGGCTAATTCGGCTACGTGACTACCCTGTTTTATGTTGCATGTCGAATGTTCATTTATATTAATGGGGATTGTGGACCTAGAATGAGCATTTTTTCCACCAGGCAACAAAAGAGAATCTATTCCACTTTATGCCACATTAAGGGTAGTCTCCCCTTTACAATGCAAAACTGTCGATAGAGTCCTCCAGAAAAATCTTTCTCGTTCCGTCGTAACCGTATACAAAGAAAATGTCACCTTTTCTATTAACAGCATTGTTGCCAAATGTAAAAAAAATGTTTTTTATCATTGATTTAATTCAAGAATGTCCAATAAAAGAATCAATCTATCTTAAACCAACCAAGTGTCCTGGGATAGTAGTAAACTCGAAGTGTTAATCTATTTCTGGGATAGTGTATGGTCGTAGATGTAGGTATTGAGCAATTGCTATGGATGGGCGGCAGAGTATTACAATTTATCATAAATGCTAAACCGCAAGCACCAGAATATATGGAACCTACCTTTTTGGTTTTTAAGCGTGGTATTCAATTGAAGGGTAAACTTGGAACTAAATAATACACATGATATGTCTGATTGTATAGATACATGGATGAAGCCATCATATTGGGGGGGGGGCGTATGAGTCATAGATTGAGAAAGATGTATCTTTTAGTAATGTGAAGGATAATTTTCTCTATTTTTATACAAAGAATAGTATTGTTACACTGCAATTGTATAAATATATTCTTATACATTTATATATTGTGTCTTAAAAATGTGTTTTTATAAGAGTACGACTCTTGATATGATGGTTGCGGAGTAACATTTTTGAATGTAAAACAAGAAGTTATACTAATAAATGCTACAGATCGGAGAAATAAATAAATAAAAGTTGGAAAATATATAACTCTCCTTCCATTCGTATTAATTAAGGTGTCCTTTTTTAGTTGTTTAATTTTTTATTTTCCCTTTGAATAAATAAAATTGTCTCTTGCCCCGATTATCAATTCTATTTTACCTTCACTTCAATTGACTAATTGAATTATTTTTGTGATGATTGATAAAGGTAGCTCACGATGGTTGAAGATGAGGATGCTTTTTGTCAGTTTTCCATCTATCGAAATTTCTGTCGTGATATCCATATCCTTTTGTAGTGCAAATCTGATTAAATACTTCTTCATCGAATGTATTCTTGTGGTGTAACAATTTTAAAAATGTTTTTGCAAAATCATTTGTTAAATGAATTGAAGTACTTTTAAAAAAATGAGAAGGAAAAAAATTCGATCGTACAAAATTAGCTACCAATGTACAATAGTATGTAACATATTTTTCATTGGGTTATTGTCAAGTTGGTGTACTATTTTATAATGGTCAATCACCCATCAGAGCTTTTAAGATTGCTAACAGAAAAGAATCAAATTGTTACACTGTTTGGTAGCCCCGTTTTCAGTTTATCAGTCATTTTTTTATCACACATGATTTTTTATTTCGCATGTTAAATTGTATAATAATCAAAATAAATGAGGTTGATGTTATTTGTTGGCAGAATTGACTGAAGTTACTCTAGGAAGCAATTTTAATTCTTTTCGATATTTCTTCTTCTTTATTTTATTAATAAAGCTCATTTTAATTATAACGCTATCATAATTTAGTAGGTTCAACCAATTTAATTGCTTCATCCGAAATTCTACCAAGTTCATCGGATTCAACTGATTCAGTTGATTCCAGTGTTATCAAATGACCTTATATACTTGCAGTGACAACAAACACATGACCGCGACCATAGATGATATGTGTATAAAAACTTACATAATATTACCTTCGTCCTTTTTATTTAGCCATATATCTTTGACTTTTTCTGGTCAAAGATGATGAACTTTGATCCACTATTTTAACTAATATCTTTATATAACACTCAATAAACTTATACTTTTATGATAGTATTTAAAAAAACATTTTCATATTATCAATACTATTGCGTATAAATACATAATCGGTCAAAGTTTAATATCATTTGCTTGAAAAGTCAAATTTGGTTAAATAAAAAGGGAAGGAGAGTATATAGCCAACATTTTATCTTTCGGTAATCGTGCAATATCTATTGCATTAATATTATTTTTTATTATCACTATTTCTTTTATGTACTTCTGTAGATTACTTATTTGCATATAATAATTGGATAAAATGATTCTATTTGTGCATTGCATGAGAGTAATGGTATAGCTGAAAAGCTAAACGGTTATTGTGTTACAACAAAAATTCTCGAGAATTTTCTCCTACTAGCGTCGGGAGGTCACATATATAACAACTACTAGTTATTCGAACGTGCGATGCGCGAGGAGATAATGCCCAATTTTAGTTTCTATATAAACGTTCATTTGTATAATACACCATAAGCCTATGGAGTGTGTTACAACGCCATACTTAAGAGTGAGACAGGTGAAAATTTTGTATTTTTCGTGACAAGATAGAACTTATTTAGTGACAAATATCCAAGGCGAGAGAGATTGTTTTCGTGGATTAAATTACAACAGGCGCTAATAGCTAATAAGATATTGTTTGGGGTTTCCAGTTTTTGTTTATGGTGCCTAGATTTAACAAGAAAATTGGAAACATGTATCAAAGTTTGGAAACTAAATATGTGAGTGCTCAAAATTTCCTTTAATACATTCCTCCAAAATTCATCAATGAGTGTTCACTGAAATCTATCTTAATATAATAATAAAAGGTTTCTTGGAACACAAGTTCCTGCCAAAACTTCATGGACCAAAGGCTTGCGGTTGAAGATTCTAGGCAAGTGTGTTTTTAATATATTTTGTCGCATAGATACAAAAGAAATTATGACTTTTTAATATTATTGTGTGCGGCAATGGACTTCGTGCTTTGTAGCCCACAATTAGTTTCTAGCTTTTCATTTCTCGGTGGTTTATCCACCTTTTCATATTCTACCACCAAAAACACGCATACTCCTTTTCAGTTTTCACCCGCTATTGTTGTGGAACCATCTAGATAAATAGGAAGTATATGTTGACATCTAGTCTACCGCTTCAAACTTTACAATTCTCAATGTAATATAATTTTTCTTTTCACCTGACACCACCCATAGTTTTATTTTAGCGTAGTAGCGGTATTTGAGACCTCGAAGCTAAGCTTTCTTTGCCTTTTTGTATTCCATTTTGTGTATGTCTTCTATATTTATAATATATACACCTGATTCCAGGATTTCCAGCACAAATGGTGTAACAGCCAATGAAAGTACTCATTTTTTGTAGTGCAGATTTTGTCATTCTGTCATGGTTGTCATTTGGTGCTTGATCAAGGATATCACTCCATATAAATCAAGTTGCACATGTGCACAACGTTGCAGCACATTGTAAGTTTAGGGCCTCATGTATATCAGTCCACGGAATTCATATTTCAGAGGAGGTAAGATGCACCATATTCACGTGTTATTGGTAATTCATTTATGCATCAAGTTACAAGTTTTAACTGCCTTCTAAAATGGTGAGTTTGTAGGACAGTAGTAGACAAGAGTTCACCCTCATTAAGAACCGTATATATCCAAGTTTCAATTTAAATGCAAACTACTAAAATGACTTTTCTTAAATATCTTCATTTGGACAAAATATATTATAAAGTACTCCGTATTAAAACATAAAAACATTGTGAATAGTTCTGAATCTTCTGCTATATGTACATGATTGTGAACATCTTAAATAAAGCTGCTTTGTTACAAGATGTTGAATACTCATAAACTTGATTTATTTTACATATAAATCTGCTATTCAACATTTAAATATATCTGTAAATGTTTTTTCTCAACATGTTAGAACACTGTTTATAAAAAAGCATAGAAGTGAGGTATGGGTTCCATTTAAACAATTTCAGTGATTTTATATAACATATATGAACCGTAGATGTTTTGAATTGTGAATCACTGAATGATTTAAAATACATCAATTACGGAGTATTATTTTGGTATGAAAAATCATAAATTAAACAGGTTTGCTAATCAAATTATTGATAAGATTTAATTGGTGACAACTCTGGTACCCTTTTAAAAATTTAAAAATTAGGGTACCGTACCTACCATGCATTTGATTGGTCTAAATCATTCTATTCCTTTTAAAAAATTTAAAAAAAATAATTTTCATAAAATAATACCGTAAAATGTAGTCAAAGTATAACATGTGAATAATGTAAAATTCAACATGTTGCGATTAAAAAAACGGAGGATAGTATATCGTATAATGATCTTTTAACTAAGTTAATTTGCAAATATTTAAAGCTTTTGATTTGAAATTCAATGTTTTTAACAATATATGTGAAAGAACTTATAAGTTGTTCAATGTTTTTTTTTTTTTTTTTTTTTTTTTTTAAATAATAATGAATTAAATAAAGACACCAAAACGATGCTTGCAGTATCATTAGCCAGTTATGAGCAATAAAGATTCAATAGGCTAAATATACTCACATGTATAATACATCTCTTTGTGCTACAGTGTATATATGATAGATACAGCAGAGAGGCGATGGCTAAGCTACCTGCATTCTCTCAACAAGTAGGATGATGGGCTTGATGAAATAGCGCTGCTGCCGCTACCACCTGATAACTTCCCATTTTCTGCTTTTTTACCGGGGGTCCCGCATTCGCTGAAATCCAGTGTTCGTCTCTCCGTCAAAGGACTAGATGCTAAGAGGGAAGAACTTGGGACACCTTCCATGTTCTTGGGACACCTTCCACGGAGAATACTTTCAGGAGTTTCATCTCCCAGTATCTCTTGGGCATTCGCAAATGTAGCTGCAGTCTGCTCACTCAATTGCTTCATCAACCCAATAGCATCATAACTTCTCTCGCCCGGGCTAAAAAGGAAACCAAAATCCTCCAATGTTATTTCTGTGTCGACCCTGGGACTGGATAAAAAGGAATTGATAAACCACGGAGATTTCCATGCAGATGGAGATTCCATGCTTCTTCTAAAAGGAGTATCCCCATACATGCTTATATAGTTGTTGTCAAGACCAGCTCCATTTCCTGAACATTCACCTACAACCTGTGATGCAGGAACAGACTGCACAGATGTTGCTACAGCCAAGTTACTTCCATCCCTTTTAGCATAAAAGCGAGGCGAGCAAACAAGAGAGAAACATGAAGGAGACTCAGATGAAGAGAAAAGAGAGCCTTTGTTGGATGACACTGTTTCCAATCTATCCAATAGTGGGGTTCCAAGACCTTTGGTTGTTATGACTCTATCGCTCTTAGATCCGAATTGATCAGGAGAAAGAAATAGATGGTCATCTTTTTCACGTTCAACTAGAACCCCTGTAGTTTGTTGCACATGTATAGTAGCATCATCATCTACATCAACTTTAATACTCCCTATCTCCAAATCTCTATCAGTGGTTCCTTCAGATGCTGGGTCCATGTTTTCTTTGTCCTCAATGGAATCTTCTGATATAAGTTTTTGGGTTGTCAATGGAGACGATGCAGTTTCATTCTTAACATCCCTAGCATCAACCATGACCTCCAACCGAGAAAAGTTCCTGGCCAGATCAGAGAAATCACGACTCAGATGATATAAGTTGTTCAATGTTTTTCTTAACAGGATCTAGAGTAAACGAGAATTACTGAAATTTGAAGAGTAAAGGGATTCCATGCATATTTCCATATTTCAATATTTTATGTTTCATTTTTACGCATACATATTACTTGGGCTAAACTTTTCGCCCGTGCATCGCACGGGTGAGAATACTAGTATGTAAGAAGAAACAATATATTACTAAACATTCCAAAAGTGCAGCCAACAAATTTATGCTGGCATAATCAACTATGCCTATCTAGTTCAATTTATACATGTATTATGCTTCTTGTACTTAGTGTAGTATTATAAATGACTTCCCAAATATTCTAAAAGAAACACACTTGAAAGTGAGAAGGCAATTGATAGACATATAAAAAAAGTATGTTATTTATTAATTTAGAAAAATGATGACCAAATAATTTAAAAATAAGAAATCGTTATTATGGATTTAAAAGCCAAATCAAATGTACATCCATATAATCAGCAGACATATGACATTTTTGTCATTTCCAAAAGTTAAGTCTTTAAATGTTCTTTTTTGTGTTGTAATACCCCTTTCAAAAGTTGTCATGGAACGGTCATTTTTATCCACAAAACAACACAAAACAAAAATGCACTGGTCTCATATTTCTCGAAGTAAAGAGGTTGCGCACATTTGTTTCTAAAATATTATCCACTTGGACTTGCATACTCATGTCAAGTCCCCCTGTTACAAGCTAGATTGCCCTTTACCATCTACATTTACTTGTTTAAATTGGCCACGTCAAGTTACCTATATGTTCCGCCCAATCTCACACAGGACCCCCCCAAGCTGCTACACTCAACTCACAAGTCTGTCAGCCCACCCAGAGCCTTTTAGATCTTTATTGGTTGATAGTATTGAGTTAATCATGAATAAGATATACACATTTTCTTAACTATCTAAAATAAAAAATCCACCGAAAAAGGAAAAGAGCGGCCACTCACCGAATTGTGCAGAAGAAGGAGCAAAAATTGTCGAGGTGTGGAAGGGGTTTTCATCAGCTTCAAGTTAGCACACAAAATATATATTTCAGTCAAACTCCCAGACAAATAGACCTCATAAAATGAGTAAAGAAGCACTTCAACACTGGTCATGTAGGAGATTACTATCTAAATACCAGCAGCAGAACGGACGTGGAGGCTGTGGCAGAGGGAACAGGTATATACATTAGTGATAGCATCCACCTCCAGCTACTGGACAGTTCAGCCAACCACCACCGCTTCCCTCTTATGGTCATCCCAATGACAGACATCATTCCCCTGCATATATGGGGCATCCATGTACAATTAGATGTAATTCAACTACGTCATTGTCTTATACTCATGCTTTATCTACTTCTGGTACTAACCATGATTATGCATGTTCTCCATCATATCCTTTGAGAATAATTTTGGTTCTATCCTTCCTCCTGTAGTGTGTCAGAATTGTAATTTTCTAGGTCATTCTATCGTGCCATCATTGTCATGTCCCTCTCGCTTCTCGATTTACTTGGTTCTCTCCCATGCGCCATAAAAGTGAGGTTTTGCGCCACTTTCAACAAAATGGAGTTGCTAAAAGAAAACATTGTCATCTTCTTGAATTGACTCGCAATATGCCTTTCAACAATGTTGAAAGTGAGGTTTTGCGCCACTTATCGTATAAGGAAGCAATAATAACAATGTCATTCTCACTTGAATTACCCCATATATCATCCTCATAAGATGTCACTGTAATTGGGTTTCTTGTAAATCCATCATCCCCATGAAATTCAAATGTAGAAAGCATTTGACATTATTTTTAAGACATTAATAGTGGAGTAATAAATCTACAACATATACAAATTAAATTATAGATATACTTGCCTTTGTAGTCCAATATCTCTTCATCCTTTCCGTTAATGATCAGTTGGATGACATAGTAAGAATTGGTGTCATTATTCTCACTTGAGATTAAATCGTGTCAATGTAACATATTTTAAACTTTAAAATTTGATTTTTAAGGAACATCACAACGCATGTCCTTGCCTTGATACACTTTGGCTCTGCAAATTTAACCAGTGCTATCATGAAATTAGGATACTTTTGAACACTCTCTTTGATAACATCTACGAATGATCCCCACATTGTGCATTTGAGGACTTTTTTATTATAGAGAATCTAGATTTTTGTATAAAAAGTTTAAATCATTGATAGTATCAGACTTACCAAAAAGTTCTGACTCGTCAAGTTTGCTGCATGTTCAAACCGTGTATAAGGTTAGGGACAAACATGACTCTATAAAAATGTCTTTCCTCAAATTCCACAAGGGCAATATAGCTTGTAATGCACATCATTAGGTGTCACAATAAAGTTTCTTAGGATATACATAGCCCCTCCTTCACACGTTCTTTAAACTCATTCACCTTTTCACGTCGTATGGTGGCGTGAACTCTGTCACAGATTCACCAAAATTAGCTACTTATTGGGCATGAAATAAATTAAGTAAAATGAATAACATGAATTATAAGTATCTCGGATTCATGGAATTGATATGTATTTCAATGAGCTAGTGACGTTCTTGTTGGTGTACGTTGATATCCCAAATGAGCATATCAATTTGATACGTAATGTTCAGGAAGTGTTGAACTCGTAAATCTTGTTGAACAACAGCTTCAACGTTTTTGTACACAAATAGAGAAAGTTGGTATGTGATGTTTTGTGCGTGTCTTATGTTTTGAGACACAAAAGAAATTGACAGGCTCAACTACAAGCTATTATTGGTCTGCCTCCGAATTTACAGGCTCAACTTTGCGGTTATTCCCATCCCACTTACAAAACGTGAGTTTGGTATCTGCAGAGCAATTTATTATTCCACACTTTACTTCCCACTTATTGTAACACATTTTTTGTTTCCGATACCACTTACCTGATATTAAAACAACCTGCCACTGAAAAACCATAGCTACAAGCTATTATTGCATTATAGTATTAGATTACACGCGTGCCAGTCATGATTCTAACAGGACAAAAAAACTTAACATTAAATAAATTGATAAGGTAAATAATTCTACTATTGTGTCTAACAGCAAAGAAGCAGTTAATTAACATGATGAGATAATGATTGTACTATTTAAATGACTGTTACAGGAAATTAAATTAACTATGTTTTTTCATTATTAAAAACAAAGAAGCAGTTAATTAACATGTGGGTACTTATTGTAGTATTTGTGACATGTGGTAACATAGGATTGATTCACCAAGGTATGCTGAGGTGGATGATTGCACTGAATATAGTTTTTGACACTGGTAATGCAAGTGAAATGCTATCGAAAATAACATGTCAAATGTCAAAAAAGAATTGCACTGCCGGATCCAATGTATATATACTATCTTTAAAGTACCCTATATCACTTTCTTTAAATTTATTGTTTAAATGTGCAAATTTATAAAATTGTTTTATTGTTAGGTATACATTTTTGTATAGAACTTGAATCAAATTGCAAATATTTTTTGAAATTAGGACCAATTTTTTCCAACACAAAAAATTAATTGTTCCATGTTTGTCAATTTTTAAATGTGTTAAAACTGATTCACAGAAAAATTATTGCATGTGGAACAACAAAGTAATCGTCAAATGAACTGCACAATATGCGACATCTTAGATAGACGACGCCATGATGACGCATTGATGACGCTAGAAGTGTCGGTTGAGAACAGTTTTGCCCATACAATCTAGTTTTTTATATATAAAGATTTCGAATATTTCTAAATATACATAATATAAATAAAATTTGAAAATAACAGGAAAATGAACCTTTTTTTATTTCCATCAATCAATACAAATTAAATTCTTGGATAGGTATTACTATTGTCCTAGGTAAATTTTTTCGTTCACTAATCTCTACTCAACGTAATTTGTTCATATTTTTTATTTTATATATTCATCTTTTATAAAATTCGATTTTTTTTTGAAATTTTGCAAAAAAATTAATGTAATTTCTGAATATAATTTTTTTTTTACTAAAATATTTTTATTACTATCAATGGTTAAATAATTTTATGACCAATCAAACATTCTAAATGAGGTAAGGGTCAGATTGGTACTCGAAATTGCATAAAAAGGGTCAAATAAGTCCTTATATAGGAGACTATGTCAGGCCGTCGCCATTTGGGGCGGTTCCTGGTGGAATTTTTTAACGAAATTTTTTTGAGCATCTTATTCATTAAGTCTAGTTTACTCATACCAAATTTCAGATAAAAATTCAACCGGGAAGGCATTCAAATGAATTCTTGAAGATAACTGCGCAGTTAAAATCACAGTTATCTTCAAGAATTCATTTGAATGCTTTCCTGATTGAAGTTTTAGCTTAAATTTGGTATGAGTAAACTAGACTTAATGAATATGATGTTCGAAAAATTTCATCAAAAGATTCCACCAGAAACCGTATCAAATGATGACGACCGAATAGTAAGGACTTAATTAACCCTTTTTATGTAAGTTCGAGTAACCCTTACCTCCATTCTAAACTAAATGAAAACCTTTAGGTGGAGGTACTACTTTACTAGGTACCACATTTTTTCCATCTGTCAATGCCACCAATGAAGGGTTATGAGTATATGACCAATAAATAAGTACTCCCTAGAAAAGAAGAAAATAAGGAAGAGTACATATATGCAAAGATAAAAGGAGGAGAAAGTAGGCAATTACTCACCACCTAACATAGTCGCCCCATTAAGGGACGCGTTCCCCTGTCGCGCGAGCACACTTTATAATAAACTCTCCTCGTCATTTTCATCCCACCCAGTCTCACCTTACCTATTCGGTTTGCTACCTTTTCTAGGGAGAGATACGAGGTCCGAGGCTAAATCCATGGCTTTCCTGTCGTTCATCGGAAGGCTTCTCTTCGTCTCCGCCTTCATTCTTTCCGCTTACCAAGAGTAACTTCCTTTCTCATCAAGACTGCATTTTTTCTTGAGTTATCAAGACTGCATTTTTATTCCCGTTTCATACTATATGTACGCTCCGATGCTTGTTTGGGTGTTGGGTATTTGCGTTCCGGAGCTGTTTAATTGCCTGCATTTAGTGCTTCTTTTGGTTGACTTTTGAAAATCGTTGGTTTTCGTCGCTTCTCAATCTTGAAGTGTAGATCTGATGAGTTTGACCTGCACTGTAATGTGGGGAGAGCACGAAATTGATGAGATTTGCGTGTAAAGTAAGATTGGGTTTCTGTTGGTAATAAGAAAGAGTGGAAATTTCTGCTCTTTTTGGCATGTGCATCCAATGTATGTGGAAATAACATCGGTATCCTATTGTCTTGTTTAATTTATGCTAATGACATGGACTATTTAAGTTGTCAGTCTAGGACATACAAATGGCATGGGAAAGGTGACAATTGAACTTGTTATGATTACTTTCCACCTTTGATCATAATACTTTACATTAGTGGAACTATTGTATCACTGTATCCTGTGACTCATGTTGTCCAGATGTGTTGGTAATCCTTATGTATTCAATGTGATTATATTGTTATCTTGTTGAAGATCACAGATCTAAGGATTGAATTGTAGCTTCTACATTTTAAACTTCCTTTTTGGCATGTGTATATTTGACCTTAGAAGCCTTGTGAACTTTGAATGTACTGCAATGCAAGGTAGGGGGGGATTTCAGGTTCTGCTTGATTTATCAGATTGCAGTTTGGTTTAAAATGGGTTGAGAAAATGATTGCCAAGTTTATACAAAAATTAGTTTGGTTTGGATTGGAGTGGATTGAGTTTGGTGTTTATTGGGCTTTGTTTTTCAATCTGTCCGTTTGGCTAATCAGTTTCGGTTTGTTTGGTTTCATATGGTTTGGGAAAACATCCTGAAGCTAAAACTGAATTTTATATGGTTTGATTTTTTGTTTGGGTAATTCAGTTCGGCAAAACCAAGTTGGAATGTTTGTTTAGGAGGAATAATTCATTGATGATACAAAGTCCAAACCTTTTAATTTAGGTAGTTGTGATTTTGTTCAATGATTTGAAACTGTTGCCAGACGAGTTATATTTGTTGACTACTTGACTTTCCAATTTGAAAAATTTCCACCATTGGTCGTGCTATTATTAGGCCATTCCTAGTTTTCCTCCCAATCTTCCAACTTTATACCAGTGTATGTCTATTTATTTTTTTGTCACTTTTGAATGGTTGGCCCATCCTATTTAGTTATTTCATTGATGACCTAAAGTTCAAACCTACCAATCTAGATCATTATGGTCTTAAAAATTCTGGTTTTTTCTCAATGGCTTACAAACCACTGCTATCCGTATTTCTTGACTTCCAATTTTGAAAATTCCACCATTGATCCCACTGCTCATTCCTAGTTTGGTTCTCTATATTTCATTTCTATCTACTTTTGGTGCATGTATATGACTCTATGGTCATATAAGTGGTTAAAGTCCATTCGGAACAGATGGACTGAAAGTGACAAAAGTGAAAGTCATGGGACTGAAAGTGAGAATGACTAAACAGTCACAGGACCGATTGTGAATCTTCTTTCACTTTCTCTTGCTTAAAGTTTAAATAAATGGAACAGTACACAATTCTAATGATCTCCTTTTGTGTCTAGGTTTAATGAATTCGGAACTGATGGTGGCCCAGCAGGGAAAACATTGAACTCCAAAATCAATGTGTTCACTAAGAATGTAGCAACACACACTGGTTTTCAAGTTCCTCGTGTGGAGGTAATAATAAGGGTTCTGTTGCCATACATGTTACTTCTAGTTGCCTTAATTATAATTATTATGGATTGTTGATCACAGATCAAGCATATTGTTTTGGGCCTTATCGTTGTGAAGGGGCTTGGAAGCCTTCTCTTTGTCTTTGGAAGCTCTCTTGGAGCTTACATTCTGGTATATACACATTAATCTTACCTTCATGTTTATTTTTCCATTACGTGTTGAATCATTTAAAAAACCATTCTCTCTGTTTGCAGCTTTTGCATCAAGCTGTTGTTACTCCAATTATATATGACTTTTACAATTATGAAGCTGACAAGAAAGAATTTGCTCAACTGTTCGTCAAGTTTTCACAGGTAATTGTTAAAATCCCTTTTCCTGCACTAGCGCCCCAAATCAGCACCACACTTTCCATGTGACAAGGTGGAATGGGAATGGATTACAATGGATCTCTCTCCTATCATTTTGGTGTATTTGGGACCATGAAAGTACTATGTGAAAAGAAATTAGGGAGGACAATGCAAAGTACTAATTTAGAATGCAAAAACTGTGAAGGAGGTGGTTTATAAAATTTGTTTTTTATCAAGGAAAATCACAAATTTGGTTAAAACTTCACACTTTTTAAATCTGCAAAGATTTGCATCTCGGACACAAACTAAATGACCCTGCAAGCTAACTTTTATTTTCCCAAGATCTCTTTTCTTCCAAATCTCCTTCTTTATAATCCATATTTATTTGAAAACCCCCCACAAATATTACTCCTCAGAAAGTGGTTGACACTTGACAGAATTGTTACTTCATAAATTTTAGTGACTATAATTGTGTTCAAAGTTACAATGATGTAGTCACTATGATGTAAACTTTGAACACAATTATAGTCACTAGAATTTACTAAGTCACATATTTGCCCATGACTTTTTTATTCGTACTATTTTAGGTAAAAAAAGTTATGCATAAGAAAATAAGCATTCACCCCCAACTTGTTCCATTTTCCAAACATAAATCCATAGGAAGAGAAAATCAATTTCTGTTTTGACAATGAGTGGTTTATATACATAGTACTAGTATCATTTAGAGATGCCTGCTATACTTTTAATTGTTTTGGCTGGCAGGGTTTACAATTGCTTGGGGCACTGCTGTTTTTCATTGGCATGAAGAATTCGATTCCAAGGAGAACATTAGTGAAGAAGAAGGCTCCCAAGTCGAAAGCCCTTTGAGGATGGACCGGACATGGGTTGAGTTTTTTTTTGTGTGTGCACTAATTAACATGTTTCCATTTGTCACATTGGACCGTCTTTTGTAAGCTTTGTATTTTTTGGTACTCTTATGAAATCTAATCTTTGTTCTTTTGGGATTTTTCGTTTTATTTTTTGAATCTTTTCTTCCTACTATATTTATATACTTGAGAAGAAAAGAGAATTTCAAATTGTTGCTCTGTTATGGATGGCAGGACGACTTACTACTAATAGAGTAGTTGAATTCAGCAGTTATTTCACTTATTTGCAACCTTATCAGCTTATCTTTCTCCTCGTGAGTCTTATCAATTATAGAGTAGTTTCTTACCCATAATTGATTTCTGTAGTCAGCGCTTTGTAGCTTTGAGAGTTTGAGTGTTTAATGATAAGAAAAAGTATTGAATGTATTTTTCGACTTGAAATTATAGAAATTGGTAAAGACGATAAATTTATGTTATCCTTCCATATTTTCTTAGTAGGATTATTAGGATATAATGATTTATGAAAGCATATTATATGGGCTGGTCCTGCATATAGTAACGGGCCGGGTTGGGCAAGGTATCGGGTTGGGCCCAGTCCATGCCTATATTCAACCATTTAAGCATTTTGAGCTATACAAAATAGGATTTCAATGAGTGCACGACTAAGGACTCGTTTGGTTTTAGGAAAGTCATATTACCATTAAAATGTTAGATTGTTGGGTATGTTAGATTGATGAGAATATATTCAATGTGTATCCCATTTATGTTTGGTTAAGATTAAAGGAATGTGATATTAATTTGTTTGGTTGAATGATATTTTATATTGTAGACTTGATAATTTACTTCAATGCACTTCAAACATTTTGTCTTAACACATTAGGGGGGAGTACTCAATACCGATTGTTGTGGACTTTTTTTAATCCATGGACTCTTAAAAAAGTCAATGGACTTTTAAATTCATAGATTTTTTATGAATGAATTCTATGGACTTTTAAATACATAGATAAGTTTATTGACTTTCAAAAAGTCCATAAGCTTTTAAATGCGGAGTGTCACCGCGGGTCGTCAGAATTTTCACCTAAATTGTCGTTACCGATATGTCTGTGATCTATACGCCTCCATCACCGGAGTTCCCCGTTGTCGTCATCGGACTGACCCGCCACCAACGAAATGACTTTACTTATGAAAGGGAACTAGGGACAATTAATTATATTAATTAATTAAATTAGGGGTGAATATGTAATATTTATTCCTATTTAAGAAAAATCAAACATATAATCATGCTTTAACAATAATGCTATGTTTTAGTCCTACCGTGAGCGATTTCCTCTATATAATACGGAGTACGATAAGAAATAAATAAATAAATGAATAAATAAATAAATAAATAAATGTAATTCATATAGCAACAAAAAGTTCTACAAAAATAAATGAAGCATAAGAATTTAAATTTATTTTTATTAAAAAAAAACAAAGTTTCAAGAATGCTCAAGAATTTTGGCCATTTTATTAATGATTAAGAACATTTATCGTTACACAAGCGTTACACTCATTGCTATATGTGGTACAAGCATAGATGCAATCGAGCCTTTCTACTTAATGATTATTTTGTTTTAATTTCTATCTTATAAAAACTCGTATATGTATTCATGGTTCTATATTTATTAACTTGAAATTATATTTTTATGTGTTAAGCGATTTAACGATGAAAGAAAGTGATAGTTAAAATATTTATTTTCTTAATAGTTAACTGACGACGTACCAGAATTGCATTGATGTAATACTATCGATTCTTATATCAGTTCTTCTAAAAACTTCTAGAATCGAATTGATATGGGATTAACGAATCGAGGGGGGTGGAATGGGACCGGCAAGCTGAAGAAGAAGAAGAACGGAAGGAGAGGGGTGGGGCGAGCTGGGCAGAACTGCAGAAGAAGAAAGATCAAAGGAGAAGAGGTGGCTTGGCTAAAGAAGAGGAGAGTTGGGGGGGGGGGGGAGGGGTGGGACGGGATGAAGAACTAATATAAGAAAAGTCCACATAAATCTTTAGTGAGGAGAAGAGGCATTTGTAGAGAATTTTTGCACTAAAAATGAGTTAAAAGTCCACAAGAATCCATGATTTTAGAAGTCAATAAGAATGAACAAAACATTGAATACGCCTAGACTTTTATAGACTTTTAAAAGTCTACATTGAATACACCTAGACTTTTGTAGAATTTTAAAAGTCCATATTGAATACGCCAAAACTTTTTAGATCTATGGATTTTTAAAATTTTGCCACTAATTCCTAATACAATACACCCCCTACACTTACTACAACCTACATTTGAAGTAATATCTCAATGATAAATAAAATCAATAGTAATTGAATAACTTTTAAGAAAAGTGTGTTTATTTGCACAAATGACAAATATTAGTTAGCATTAGTAAGTACTATTGACAACTGAGCATATGTTTATTTTTGGAAGAAGTTTTAAAATTGACCAGACATCCAAGATAACCTAAGACCCACATGGGTTTCACATTACCGGACATGGGATTACATTCTTCTCTATTTAGGAGTATAACAATCTTTAATTTTTTTAAACCCGCTAACCAAACATGAGTATCTCACATTCCCGATATAAGATTGATCTTCATACAAGATTACCTACCTCGATCCAAACATGTCCTAAGGAATATTACTTTCGCACATTTGAGCTTTCCTCGTCCATGACTCCAAAAACCAGCTTGGATATCAGAATTCAGAAGTAGTTGCTATGATTTGACCGACCTAAATTTAAGTTGGTGGTCCGTGGTCCGTGGTCTTACACTCTTAATCTATAAATTATGTTCTTGCTTTAACTTTACACATTTTTACGGAACAACAATTTTCTTTATCAACTTTCAATTTAGTATGCTAATTTTACGGTTTAAAAGAGTACAAAAAAGGTAGAGTGAACTTAGTTTTGTGACATCCTAAATAAGAGTGGGAATTTAATTTAAAAACGAATGAAGTATTTAACTTATGTAGTGAAATGTTTGCTTAACCTTAATACAGTTGTTTCTCTATCCTGTGGCAAAATTGTTAGTCAATTGTGGCCAATGTATATAAGGAGATGAAGTGGGTGAGGTGAATTATACTAGTATAAAATTATTTGAAAGAATAAATTATCTATGAGTAAAATATGAATCTGAACTAACAAAATGTTGAGCCAGAGACCCACAAAATGTTTTACACACTCGATATTACAGCCAAAATTTAGACTGATCAGACGCGCTCAAAATGTTGACTAGTTTTTGCACAGACACAGAACAACAAAAGAGCACATCTAATCAAATCTAGGTAATACAATCGACAAAAACAAAAATGTTGCAAAATCAATTATCAAACCATGAAATGCATAAAGATAGCTCAGATTGACATAAGAATAGATGCATTGCCACAAAAGAGAACTCCAATCTCCATCATCATCTTGTATCTCAGAGCCTCAAACCGGCTAGGTATCTTAAGAGAGCTCAACAATTTTTGATCTCTTTCTTGAATGCTTCTTCTTTCTTGAAGATTCACTTGCAGAATCTTTCTCAGCAGGCTTTCCAGTCTTCTTATTGTCTGGAAAATGTTGTTCATCTTCACAATCCTCTGCACCATCACTTTCATCATCATCATCATCATCATCACTACTAGTGGATGCAAAAGGAATCATCACAGGTTGATTACCAGCGATGGCCGACTCAGCAGCAGCTATGGCTTCCTTACTCTGTAGCTCTGCCACACCAAGCATCAAATCCATCTCAATAAACTGAGATTCCTCCCCAGTTAATGCTTCTATATCATAGTTCTCTGGGTTGTTTTTCGCATCAACCTCCAGCTTTTCATTTGCTGCCGATATTACCCCCAAGAAATCTTTTACTTTACCTAGAAATTCGCTCTGATGAATGGGGGGAATGGTGGATGTCTTTTCAGAAGAGCTGGGTTTGGCTCTTTGGGACTTGAAGTTTTCATATCCATTTTGAAAAACAAATTTGGACTCCAAAGGTGAGGCTTTTCTCTCCAAGTCTAGAAGAGCTTTACTGCTGGGCTTCATTTACACACAGTTATGACCTCTCTGGAGAGCAAACGTTGATATTACCTGCAACAAATCCCTCTTATTAGTTAGTATCATAAGTTCTGTTTGATTGCAGGAAAATAAGTTGTTTTTGAATATATTTTCTTGAAAAAGTAGCTATCTCTGTGTAATTCAGTGTTATCAATAGCTGATAGGGGATTATGGAGGAAAGCTTAACACATGCAGATAAGGTAAAATAAATTATACAGATTTATTCTAGTAACATTAAAACAGTCAGACACCTAGAATTAAAAATAGAATCATAGCACAAAACTAGCAAACCACCATATTTCAAAGTTTCAATTTTAAAAACAAGCTTCTCATGGCGCATGGCGATCGCCATGGAACAAAGGCATTTTCCATGGCGCATGGCGCATGTGACACGCGCTATATCTCGCCATTGACAGCTATTATTTTTAACAGCTTCTGAATAGGTATAAATTAGAATGTATTGCAACAAAAACACCACAAATTTATAAATGTATTCTACAGGCTTTCATCAACTGATATAATGTACATGTCTTATTGAATAATAGTATTTCAGGCCATTATTATAAGGATTATGAAATAAAATGTTAGTGTTTTCCAAATCAATGCAGCAAAATGAGTTAAATACATTTTGAATTGTTGTTAGAGGTTAACTAGAAAGTTCATAACAAAATTTGTTTTCCCTTTGTATACGGATGATAATATAACTATGCTAAGTACAAGTATGACGTATACATTTTCAAAAAGCATATCATTTTAAAAAATTGATAACATTAGTCATTTTTCAAAAGAAACACTTTAAAATTATTAGAAACAAAACAACACTCTAAATTTTTTTTTGCTATTTAAAATTCACATTGTTAAAATCACTATACCTTTAGCTGTCCATCTTCTTTGAGCATATGAATAGACATTGCATTGAACGCGTGTGTGGTAATCTTTAGTTTCAGACTTCAGTGTTCAAAGAGAACACATTTTCACTATTATGTTTCCGGGGGGGTTACAAGCCGAAAAGCGCTGATATCATCTTTCCATTTTATATCAAAGAGAACACATTTTCACTATGAAACTGACATCATCTTTCCATTTTATAGCATATACTGAGATACTATGTATATTGTATTGCACTGACAATTTATTTTGTTATAACTGTATCCTTGTTTTTGTACTTTTCTTAACTACTCTTAGGTGCATAATAATTTTTATAACATAAATTTTATATTATTATTTTTTTCATTGTGTACTCTTTAAAAGTATTCACTGTGATTAATATTCACACAAAATATTCCTACTGTACATTGCACTGGTGAGATATTAATATTATTAATATACTAACAACAACTATTGAGAATATGGAATTAATACTAAATAATGAGATTACTAATAAAAAAATCACAATCAAATTGATGCTAATCAGCTAATGTAATTATGTAAATGATGCTCACAAATGAAAATTTAGAACTTACAAATAAAAAATCACATAAACAATAAGTGTTAAAAAATGGCCAGTGGCTCACTCAGACCAGAAGTAAACACAATTTAATTATATTATTATAATTTACAAAAATAGAATAATTCGTAGTATAAAGCTGAAAGCCTGAAAGAGTGAAAGTATAACAATAAAGCCATTAACGCCCTTTCCGGAAGGTGGAAATCCTATGCTCTGGAAATAAAGTCTGAACTCTAAAGATGAAAATAAAAAGTACAACAAGCTACCTCAAATCTGAAGAGGCGCAGAGCAGTCGAGCAGAGACCTAGCTTGAGCCGTGAGTGCGTGACCGACTGACGAAGAGGACGAGCCGACTGAGTTGCGCCTTCACGACTTCGAGCAGCGAAGAGGATGAACGGACGATGCTCGACCCTAGCCTGCGGTCGTTGCTTTAGGACGTGTGAAACTGTGAAGGTCTAATTCGGAATTGGGCCTTTTTTTCGGGCTTTTGAGGACTGGAAATGCGACGAGCCAGCGTGTATCGATGCCCAGGGAAGCCTATACCATACAGCCCGCCATACGGCTGTGCACCGTACAGTCGATGACATTTTTGTACTTTTGATGAAGTTCATGATTTTTCGTAAATGAGAATCTGTGTAATTTTGATAAGTATCGAGTCTGTTCTTCTGAGTACTAGAAGTCAAACAATGAGCACCCGTGATCTCTACTTCATATCTTCTAATTCAGTTTCTTTTTATTAGTTTCCGTTTATAAAAAATTCTTAAATTGTATTTATAATTAATTTCAATATGTCAATCTACTGTAGTATGATATGTTTGACATGCGCATCATTTTAAAATGAGCATAAACCAGTACCAAATGAGCATACATAATTTACAAAATGACTATCAAAAGATTCAAAACTTCATTTATGTATGCTCATTGGTTTTGGATGTTATATTTGATATGTGCATCATTTTAAAATAAGCATAAAGCAGTACCAAATGAGCATACATAATTTATAAAATGAGTATAAAAAATTCAAAAGCTCACTTGTGTATGCTCATCAATTTTGGGCGTTATATTTGATATGTGCATCATTTTAAAATGAGCATAAAGCAGTACCAAATGAGCATACATAATTTACAAAATGAGTATCAAAAAATTCAAAAGCTCATTTTAGGTATGCTCATTGATTTTGGTCGTTATACTCATTTAAGTTTAACATAAAACTCATTTTTAATGTGTTTAATATTCAGTTGTGTATGTTCATTTCTTTGAGGCGTATACTCATCTGAGTTTAATATAAAACTCATTTTTAATGTGCTTAATAGTCAGTTGTGTATGTTCATTTTTCTTTATGTGTATACTCATTTGAATTTAATATAAAACTCATTTGAGATTAATAGCAATAGGGTCTTCCTTTATCTGCATTAGGCTTGCTTTGTCTTCCAAAATCACAATCTCAAACACCAAAATTGAATAAGAAAAAAAGAAAAACAGAAAAGAGTGAAAAGAAAGACAGAGGGGAGGGAGGAGAATCAGATCTGTTGTGTCCATTCTAGAGGAGAAGGGGCCATCTCCACTAGGGGTGGGCGAATCGGTTTACGGTTCGGTTTTTATCGGTTTCGGTTCAGTTTCGGTTTATTCGGTTTGAGGAAAATAGTACCAAACTCAAACCAAAAGAATTTTGGTTTGGTTTCGGTTCGGTTTGGGAAAAATTCGGTTCGGTTCGGTTTGGTGTTCGGTTTGATGTTCGGTTTATAAACTTGAAAATGATTATGTCTTGTTTCATATTTTACAATCCACTTTGAGTAATTTTGAATGTTCTGTTTTCATTGAAATTCCAACTAAATGAAATACTAGAACCAGCCTTCACCAAATCAATTGAACAACCTGTCTTCACCTGCTTAAACATTCTGCCAATTGAAATTCCAACTAAATGAAATACTAGAACCTAGCTTAAACAACCTGCCTTCACCTGCTAAACCAATTGAAACAGACTAAACCAAAGACTCACACAGAAATAGAAATAGAAATAGAAATACAATTTGCTATTGATATCGCCAAACATAATAAATACAAATATGTCGTATTAGCTAACTTTGTCATAATGAATGTTTGAAATGTGTAAAAGTTAAAATAGTACGAGTATATGCTTAAATATGCATTTTTATGTCTAAATGTTTTATTTATATCTTAAAATGAAGAGTGAGGATAAATACAAAGTGTGTGTGTTGTTCGGTTCGGTTCGGTTTTGTTCGGTTTTTATCGGTTTTTATCGGTTTCGGTTCGGTTTAATACGGTTTGAAAGAAATAGTACCAAACTAAAACCAAATTGCATACGGTTCGGTTTCGGTTCGGTTTATTTCGGTTTGGTACGGTTCGGTTCGGTTAAACCAAACCATTATGCCCACCCCTAATCTCCACTTTGGTTTCTCCGGCGACGAAGCAACTAGACGAAGCCAGATCGAAGAACCAGACGAGATCGGAAAAGCTGGTGCGAAGCCGAAGAAGAAGCGCAGAGCAAAGATCGAAGCAGAAGAAGCGCAAAGCCTAAAAATGGCCGGCTGCTGTACCGTGCGCACGGTACAACCGGGTGTACGATAGAATTTACGGATGCCTAGACTAGTGTGTATGGAGTATTAACGTTTTTTACTCTCGTTACGTTGAGATAGTTTGACAATATTGTTTTTCGGCTTTATCAAACTTATCAATCAACTTTTTCATCAAACGCGTAACTTTTACTTTTATGCGATAAATTGTGTAATAAGCAGAAAAAATAAGGTTAGAGTTATTTTTCTGGATGTATTGGCTGAAGTTATTGTAGATGACCATTTTAACTATTTTTACATATAATTTTTTCTTTATTTTATTAATAATATATATTTTATAAATAATTTTTTCTTAAATCAGCAGAACTTCATAAATATCAACAGAATTAGCCAAATCAATCGATTTTCGTGCTACCAAATAAGCTTTACATTGGAAAGATATTAATAGTCTGAGGATCAGCCGTGCTACTTTTACATTTTTATACACTTTTTTTGCACATTTTTGTTGCACACACTACCTAGTTGCTTGTGTACACAAGAGTTTCAGAGCGAGCTGCTTGTGTAGACAGACAACTAGGAGGTGTGTACTAATTAAGAAAATGTACAAATGACTTTTTTCCTTTATGATTCTATTCTAGACATGTTCGTTTTGTTGTGTTCATTTTATAATTTTTGTCAATACTTCTTTTAAACATTAATTATCATGTGCACATATGATACATATGCTGTACTCATTTTAATCATATCAATGCACATATGACCAATTCGTTCGTTTCCATTTCATGACAAAAGATGAAGGCTTCATGCATATTTGTTGCCTCAGTGCTCGCCGCCTCCACCGTGGCTCTCGTCGTCCCCACCGCCGATAATGAGTCGAATATCAACCTTTTCTTCAATGAGAGGCTCACATATTATTGCAACCCTCCATCACAACGGCTAGGAATGGTTGAATCATAGGAGTCGTCGTCAAGTATTGAGAAGTTGGCCAATGGGGATAATTTGCACCATGGTTTGATGGATTACAATTCATCGAGACTCTAATTAGGGGTCATAGGGGAACTCGGATTAGGTTCAAGCAAATGAAGGAGATTATTGATTGTTAGGGGCTATGATTAATTAATTATTGAAAATGGCATAAATCTAGAACTAAAAGCCTTTCATTCATTCACATATAACCATATATATAGGGAAGGAGAGCTAGGGTTACATACACGGTCATGGGCCAATACACGTAGGCCTGTGAGTTAACGGACATCCACATAATTACATAACACTCCCCTTGGACGTACAATTGTACATTTCCAAATAAAAACATTACAAGAAAAAATACGCATTTATCTCTTTATACACAACGACAATGATGTCTCGTTAAAAACCTTACCGAGAAAAACCCAGTGGGACAAAACCTTGGTCAAGGAGAAAAGAGTGCAACGCGTGTATACTCCCCCTGTTGACTGCATTGATTCAGTATTTCTTGTTGAATCCAATTCGATCCAATCTGGTTACTAACTTCTCGAATGAAATATTATACAATGTGTATGCGTCGTTAAAAACCTTGTTGGAAAAACCCTTTGAGAAAAAACCAATCAAGGAATATATATGTACAACGTTGTGTTGCATTGACTACCTCATTAAAAACCTTTAACTAATAAAAACATGTGGGAAAAACTTAGTAAAGGAAAAGAGTATAGTCATTGGCCTTCAAGGCCTAATCTTCTTGATTGCATTTGAATTTACTCTTCTAGAGAAAAATAATGTGTTATTCAAAGTGGCAAACTGTCTCGTTAAAACCTTTGACCAAGAAAACCCTATGGGACAAATCTTGGTTAAGGAAAAAGAGTACAGTTGCATATGGTCTTTCGGACCAATAAATTGTTCGATCTCACAAGGACCAATTAAGACCTTCAGGGTACTATCTTTCGAACTGATATTAGAATCACTCTTCTAGAGGATAATAGTCTTCTGGATGTTATGAATCTTTCTCATTCTTTAAAAACCATAAAATACCTTAAAAATTTTTGGCCAAGAAAACCCTTTGGGAAAAAACTTGACTAAGAAAAAGGAATAGCACATAGTCTTCTGGACCAATTAATTGCTTCACTTCAACAACAACTTAATATGTTTAGGTGAAAATATGCGATAAGCTCCACATAATTTGAGATGATGAAAATCTTCAGTATATAAACCTCCATCATTATTTATACAGATCTGATGAACATTAGTCACCAAACTCTTCAAGAGTTTCTAAGCGGAAGCAATTGTCTATGATTCTGCAATGTGTATTTCAAGACCATCAAGTTAATTGTACTATAAACATCGAATATTCAATAATTGAATATTCTCAAATATTGGTCTATAAAACTTAAATGGAACATGTTTTTGATCCTCCTAGGATCTCAAATTAGTATACAAACACTTCAGGTGTTCACAACATAATGACTAGACTTTTTATTTATTATATAATCAAACACCATTCAAATCAAAAGATTTTGATTTGTTGTTTCTCGGATTGGCTGGATGCTTAAAAGTCCCCATCACCTTTATTTATACAATTTGGTTCATAGAATAATATATGTTTACTTCAGGTAAACAAATAGAAGATTTATGATTAATTGCAAATTCATTGCATAATGTTTCCTCATTCAACTCTTTCTGCAGGAAAGGTTGAGAAGTAGTACGAATATAGCTCCCTTTAAATTAATTTAAATTCTAGTCATGAAATCATGTGAAAACAAATACGAAAATTGTTCACATTAAATCCTCTACAAGAGGTTCATTACAAGTGATATTTTGACATGGTGCAAAAACCTTGTTCAACCGTGATATTAGATAATATAATTCGCATCATGATCATCAAACATAGTTCTTCTACAAAATAAATCATGTCATCAACACTTATTACAATCACCCAAGTTGTAGTTAGGCAAAAGCATCAATTTTATATATTTTTTAGCTATGCTTAATATTATTGTTGCAATTATTCATTCAATTTCAAA